GCCCCAGCGCCACTTTATCCACCACAAATCCCATTTGAGCAGACCCGGGATCGAACCCGAGCCGCCACGATGGGAAGCCAGCAAATAACCACTTGAGCTATGGCGCGGACTTTACATGCAGATTTAATAAGTATTTGTCAAGAGACACATTCCATTTAGCCCCTTCAATAAAACGATTCTTAAAATGAACAAAACTAAATCAAAACAAAAATAACCTGATAAATGTAATTATGCTTAAAAAAAACAAAATAGATATACACAACCTAAAATCCTGTTATAAAGATTAGTTATGAGTTAATTTGATACACAGCTAGAGAGTAAGAAGTTTAATGAAAAGAGGAGAGCAATGGCCATTTTTAATCAAAGAGTCCATGCAGAATGTGTTAACTAGGCCACTGTTAAAATGGGTTGATACTCACGACCTCACTTTCATCCCCTTCAATTTCTGCTGTTGCTGATGGGGAGTGCAGTCTCCCAACAGCCCCAGCTCCAGCTCCAGCCCCTGCAGTGACTCCCATGTCTCCTTCCCAGTTTGCATTCCGCTCATCCACACTCAGGTTCCCAAGTCGTACTTGTACATCATCTTCATAATCTTCTGTCTCATCTTCTTCATCTGAAAAGTAGCTTTCTATTCGCCCAATTACATTCCCATTCTCTTCACTGTTGTTGCCATTGTCATCCTCCCACTCATCAGCATCAGCACACCACTCCGAAGTACTCAATGTATTAACTGTGGTGGTTGAAGTGTTGCTGCCTGTCTCTAAGGTTTGACTGCGGATACATACCCAGCTGTACAAAAACAATTCAAATTTCAGAATGTCATCGCTTCAAATTTCCCATTTCTTCCCACCTGCAATGAGGTTTTCAACTCGCATGGAATTATACAGGAGTGAATGTCTACTACGATTTACGAATCTCATACTTTAACATTACGACATCTCTAGCTGAAGTACCTACTTTTGCTCAAATAAATTATAGTGATACACAAATATAATCTGCTGATACATTTTTCTGTACAAGTAAATTTGTTCTGCACTGAGTTCCTGAAATTTATGTAGGATGTAACTAAAGGGAAACAATTAAGCCAGATAATTAAAAAAATATATGCAATATACACATGAGATACAGTACTGCAGCATGTATGATACTGGGAGAATAAAATAAATGTGTACTTCTTGGTAATAACATAATGCATATACACAGCATATACCCGTATTTCTGAAGTGTGACCCTGATTATAAATATACGAGTATACATAAAAGGGACATGAACAATCTTATAGTTTGCATCCTGCTGTAGGTCTCAAATAAGATATAAAGCCTACAAGAATACACCATCTACATAACAACACTGTATTTTAAAATACATGAGCAATATTTTTAATGTGGAAGTACTTGTGTTAAACAAAAACCTAACTCAAACAGAAAAACGCTCATGAAGAGTTCTATCTTCTGGGATGTAAAGCCATGTAGTCCACTGAAAGTCAACCGAGGTCTCAGAGGAACATATCGCCTCCATCTTCAGGGTCAAAGAATAAGCTGGGCGAGATACCAACAAGATAGTACTCTTCATAACCACCTCTGTGAGCGGCCTCCGTAGTCTAGAGGTAACGTTCCCACCTCATGACTCAAGGTACGCGGGTTCAAACCCGGCGGAGGTCGTGGAATTTTTAAGGGCGGAAGAATTCAGGGAACAAGTCCTCTGGGAGGGACTTTAAGCCGTGGGTCCCGTGTCGTAGCTTTATGGCACGTAAAAGAACCCCATGTCTCAAGGAGACCTCGGAGCCAAATTGAAGGCCATTTCCCGCCCAACAATAGTCTCTAACGCATCTAGATACCGCTGAGCCAGTAGAGGCCGAACTCGCTGGCTGAGTCGGGGCTGATGGCACGCACCAGTACCGGTAGGTATAGACTGGTAGAATATCACAGGGGGACATACAATAGAGCAAACTGGTCGTGGTGCATGGGGAAACCCACCCCCTCCAATAATAATAATAATAATATTCATAACCACCACTGTGAGAACCTCAAATCCTACAAAGAAAAATGTTCAGGTCCCTTGAGATCCTGTTACATGCAGGCTTTACTGAAAATACCATTCACATTTCTTCCCCATGGGACTGATTGCTAATGTCTTCATCCTGACCTTTCATTCTGGTTCCAGCAGTTTGGATTGACGCACCCAAATAAGTACAGAGATCTGTGATAAGGTAAATTCTCAATGGGGGCATATATCTGCACTACTAATGGCAAGGCAAGACCACATAGCTGGCACAAAGGCTGTGGTATCCCATCTACAGGCCAATCCTGAAACATAAACAGCAGCAGTGTTTATGTGACCTTCAGCTCTCTTGCAATATATAAATTATGGAACAGAAGTATATGACTGATTCTGATATTACTGTCACATGATAGAGTGTGAATACAGACAGGTTTTGTACTCATGACTTGATTTATTGGACACTTTGATACAGCATGAGACTACACTTTACAGCTCACTATTACACACATTAGCGTCCACAGTACTGTCATAGTTCTTTAGTAGCGGCTTCCAAAGGCAGAAATTCCCCTTCCGCTGAGTTTATGAACTGTCCCTTACCTACACTACAAGCTTCTAACAGCAGCCGCTCACAACGATTGAACTGCAGAAGTTCTGTAACCAACTTCAACTGCTAACTAACTGATCATGGTTATAACATCTCAGTACAGACCGTGTAGAAAATGCTTCTTCCATTACTGCTGTATTCTCTCACTGATATGGAAACATACTTGTCTGTGGAGCTGTTGTATAGTTGCCTGTTCCATGGTTGCTGGCGGGTAATGGGTCTACATGCCACATTATTTAATGACACTGGTCAGGTACAGGGGTTATCCTATTTATGCAAGAATGACTGAATGGTGAACTGAAAAGGATGCAGAAAGAAATGGCTGTGGTATGATTCTTAAGAATACTAATTGTTGCTTGGAGAGACTGAGGACATCCATAAAATACAAGAGGTTGGTCTCTGGGCTTAAATTTGGACAAAGACATCGCCTCCATCTTCGGAACTGAAGAGTAAGCCATGAAAGAAACCAGCAAATGCAAGCAGCAAGCTGAAAACATATTGGGTGAAACATTTCAGACAAACATAGTGCACCCACCTGCAGAGTCAAAGAATGAGGCAGGAAAGGAATTAGAAGAAGCAGGTGGCAAGGTGAGTGAAATGTCAGGTCCTCTTTGAACTACATGGTGTTGCAACCAAGATGATCATATTCTCCAGTCACCACTGTGAGAAACTCAAATCCAACATACACTGATAATTTTACAAAGTATAGTATTAAATGTGCCTCTGTGGTCTAGTGGTCAGAGTTCCTAGCTACAGATCCAGAGGGCCCGGGTTCGACTGCCGGCACTACCAGGTTTTCTGAGAAGTAGAGGGTCTGGAACTCAGCCTTGTGAGGATAATTGAGTAGCTATTTCAAGGAAAGAGTGGCTCCGGTCTAGAAAACCGAGATTAACGGCCATGGGGATCCGTTGCACTGACCACGTGACAACCTCTATCCATAAAAGTTGGCACTAACTTGGCCAACAAGTTGCGGTCGCTGGGTCAGTACAGTTTGCTTGCAGACTACAGGCCACTGAGTTTTTAGTGTTAAATGTCTCTTTATGTAATAACAGATGCCCCCACTGAACTTTATAATTACTCCTTGCCAATGTGTAATTAGGTTTGGAAAGTTAACTAGCACTTATCTAATACTGGACTGTTATGAGGGTCACTAATAAAATAACTATTCCTACTTCTTATCCCACATAATTTACGAGAAGCACATTTATGCAGAAATTACACTGTATGTAGCCACAACACTTGAAGGCATAATTTATTTTTCATTTAAATCCCCCAGTTTTCACAACAGTCTTCATCCAGCAATGAACAGCAGCATGTGTTACCATCCTATTCTGGTTCAGCCACTGTTGCAACAGCATTCATCAGCGTGCAGTCATCCATCTAATTACATGCCTAAGTCCTTTTTTAATGGGTGGGATAAAATCTGGATTATACAGAAGATGGAACACTACAGTTCACTCAAATTGTACAAAGATTTCACATATGTGATAAGTAGTGATCTAATATACCTCAGGGAAACAGCTCCTGGTTCCCACTGTACAGGAGGCTGAGGATATGGGGAGAAGAATGACAAGAGAGACATATAACATGGATAAGAAAGAGATAAAGACATGAAAGGGACAGAGAACTGGACAACAGGACTGAGGGAACTGTTTTAATGTGAAGAAAATGGAAGAAGGAAGGGGTGAGGAATGCTGATAAGAGAGCTGAATAAAAAAAGATGAGAAGGTAAATAGGAAGAAAAGAGAGGAGGAGATAAAGATGAAAAAAAGAATTATATTTGCCATCATCACACAAGCCTGCATTCACAGAACCTCACTATATCTTGTATAAACGTTACTTAGTACAGTGCAGTGACAACAGATGAACAGAGTCCATAGGGACCTGGATGCTGTAACATCATGGATATACTCATACTGAAACTATACTGCAACAAATGTAGCACCTATATAGAAAGACTGACCACTCCTTCATTGAAAAGGACATCCCTTTTCGAAACACATACATGTCTGGGAGAGAATATAAAATCTTGGGCATGGATCCCAAGGAGGCTGAAGCGAGGAATTACTGTGCTGGAGAAGCCAATAGCAATTTAACTGACTGACAGGCTGACCAACTCTTATGGCAAAATCCAGCAGCAATACAACTGACTGACAAAAGAAAAAAACTCTTAGCTGCAGTTGAGAGAGTTGTATCAGTCGCCAGCCAGTAAGGACAAGAACATGGTAGCAGATAAAATATCTATTGTTGGGAGGCACTACACGCAATGACCAGTGAATACTATTAACAGACTGAGACTTAGAGTGTGCTTTAGTGATTTATTGTGTGTAAATCAGTGAGACAATTATTTGTTTTCACAAGTTATGAGCCTTCAATAAATCCAACCACCAGTCCAATGTCCAGTCTGGCCACGCCATAGCTCAAGTGGTTAGTTGCTGGCTTCCCACCGTGGCGGCCCGGGTTCAATCCCGGGTCTGGTCAAGTGGGATTTGTGGTGGACAAAGTGGCACTGGGGCAGGTTTTCTCCAAGTACTTCGGTTTCCCCTGCCAATCTTCATTCCACCAATTTCTCCATAATCACCCTCACCTATCATCTGGGGCCGGTACAGTAGGCCAGAAGTTGCCGCAGTACAAGGGACTTAGTCCCACCTTACTAGCAATTAAAAGAAAAGTCCAGTCACTAAAATATAACAGTATTAGTTTTTACCATACAATATGTCATTTTAGCTGTAAAAACTATGCATTTTTCATTTTAGGCTTGACTAATGAAGCACACATTACTTTGTTTATTCATATTATGAAGCAAATTCATGTACACATTATTAAGTTTTGAGAAAAGTTTTTCTTGTATAAATGCTTAGTGTGGTTGTGTTTGTTTTGCTGTGTTGTACACTGTGGGCAAAAGCTGAGGTAAAAGTATAAACTGTCTACTGGTGTAATGAAACATTTTGACTTTTGAAACATCATGATGACAGTAAATTTTTAATTAGACATCTGTGTTTACTTTGATAATCCTGGGGATGCAAAGGAAAATGAGATATTGAATAATCATTTTATTTAGCAAGCTCATAAGCTGCTGAATCTGTTTCAAACACAGTGCAGTTCAGCAAAGAGAAAGCTATCTTTCTCATCCATGTGAATGCATGAAGGGATTACGTAATTTTGGTTTAATGATAGAAAACTATTGTGACTGAAAAGTAAAAATGTTACAGAATGTTCGAACAATTATGACTTTTTAATGTATGTATGTTAATAAACGTTTATAAGTTAATTAGTTACAACAAGGAAACAAAATGATACAGCAGACAACAGACTTTTCAAGGATCTCAGAAATAACGTTTACAGGACTGCAAACAAGACAAATGCATACATGTGTAATTTGTTTACATATAATTCTCTGCAAAACAATCGGCCAAAGTTCCTGTATTATGTCGTGTAAAACAAAACACACAACCTAAAGCCCAATAATAACAGATACAAAATTTCACTTCACTGCATATAATTTGTCCTACACTATACCGTGCCAATTCTCTCAACTTTAGCAACATTCTTTCATAAGTACCAAATGCCTCCGAGGCTCCACTTTTTCCCGAAAGATGTAATATTACTTTCCTACTACCATTCCACAGACTTCAGGAAAATATCTATAGCAAATATTACTTACCGGTTTCCCTCCTATTTTATTAGTGGTGAAACTGACATTCATTTTGTGTTTTTCTGTGATGAATTCATCCTCGAATCCCAGTAACACTTTCAACCCCTTCCTTGCCATTACGAAGACTCTGACTATAACTAACGCACTAACAACAAGAAAATAGCAAACATTTATTGCATTCAACACGTCAATCATTAAACTACATCAGACTCCATCAAACTGCTCTGGACCAACCCCTCTAAACGCTCTAAACCCTCTAAACTCTCTCGTTATTGGTGGGCAACATGGTCGCCATCAGGGGGTGGAAACTTGAATAGGGGAAAGAGCAACACGGTAACTGCTGCCTCTAAGAGCGGCGGACGAAACTCACGCTGGTCTCGACCAATCAGAGAGCCTAAACAAACCAACTAGAATACCCACAATTACGTGCGGTTATGGTGGTGCAATATTTGCAAATTGGTAAGTATGAATTTTGATTTGATGTGGTTGCGAAATGAAAGTAGACATTTGCGAACGAAATTACAGCTCCATGTCAAACATATTATTTGTGTACATGAATATTATGCTTACTACCACAAATGGAATTAGAAACCTAGAATTCTTTCAAGCCTAAAATTTTTCAGGTTATCATGAACTGTCATCTAAATGATATTTTTTTATGATATGTTCTGCAACTTTCTGTTTATCCCAGAGATTGTCTGTTGAATGTGAAAGAGTTCTAAGAGTACCGTGATGGTGTTATAATTTTTGTATTGCTTCTTGCAGGATAAACATGAAAACGACATTTGCTACTGCTGGGTGCTTGTCATCCAGCAAGCAAGGCATCAAATTCTTCAGCTTTCCAAGGGATCCAGCAAGGTATGTCTGTTTTAATTCATGGTGTAATTACTTTATTATGTGTTGCTTAATCCTTTAAAATGTTTGCAGTGCAACCATTACCAAGTAGCCACCAACT